TTTTTAAATCAAGATCTAATTATTATTATTCCATAATCCATTTAAATGACTCTCTTTGTAATGATTGGTCTACGGACTTTGAATCAATTGGACTTTATATATGAAGAAATATATCATTCGTGAGACTACGCTATAAAGATTTTGTCGAATTGTTCATTTTTTGAGTATCGAACAAAATTGATTAGAACTCTTAGCAATAGAACTCTTAGGTGAATTATATCTCAGATCATTAAGTCATACAGAGTTTCTAAAAATATTAATAAACCTATTTACAATTGATGAAATGAAATTAATATTAATTTAATTATTCTGTATATATTAATTTTTACATTTCAAACAGAGCTTAAAGACCACAAAAACCTTTGCAAGAATTTTGAGAAACCCTATATACTCTAGCAAAACAGCTTATAGATTTCTGTTAACTTCCTCATAAAAACAAATATGGAATAGGATGGTATTTCTACTGATGTAAGACTGCTTGACAATACTTGACAACAAAATATCCTAACAGTAAGTACATATTCATACGCATAAAGGAACTAATTGATACATGCCATAACTCGGTAGATGAAATTAATATTTTCGATATCTGAAGAAATATTCACTTTTCAATTTTGTAAACAGTGTACAAATTTTAATCGAATATATAGCAATTATTATTTCATATTTTCTATGAATTTAATAATAATATAAATTTAAAAATTTTTTAAAAGAGATTCAAACTATTGTAAATAAAAAAAAATTCTGACAATAGTTCTTAAAATATTTTCCTGTCACTAAACCCACAAAGCCAAAGCAATGTTTAAAAGGTTGTCCAGACATTTTTCCAAAAAATGTATACTTCAAAGGAAAAAGTGGGAGAAATAATCAAAATATAGAAAAAAAATGTTCACCAAATACGGCGACAAAATCAGAATAGAAAAAAATAACTAAATCTATTGTATCATAGAAATTACCACCCCCTCTCTAAAAGCCCGACCCGATGTCTGTGGTAATTTGTCACAAAATTTTTCTGTGCCTTTAATTTTCTTTCAGTACATATTTTCACCTGTTGGGAAAAGTGAATAAGGGGTGTGAGTTTCATTGCGAGCATCTCTGACTGTGTAATTGTCGTATATGACAGCACATGTGAATCCATATAAAGAGGAAGCACACACGCCAATGGATTAGTTAAATTCCATTAAGAATGACAGATAGAATCTTTGTTGCTTCTTTAGATTTCGTTTATAATTTTTTCTTCTTCTGCTTATTTAAAGCTTAAATATTATTAGGGCGAATAAAATTCAATATGAATTTTTCACTAACCTCTCACCATGCACCTTCGTCCTTTTCTCTTCATTCAACGAAATGTTAAATATTTATTTGCAGTGCTCGATGATATATCAATTTTATGCCTTATCGATATTCAATAATATGTGTACTGCCTGATTTTATTTGTGTGTAGTGCAAATAATAATCCTTGTTCAAAAATTTGTGATTGCGTTCGATACACGATAAAGTAATGACAATGTAACTGCTACGCCTGCTGTGCAAATAATTTACCACAGTTACATTTTTTCAATATCCCTCAATATATCCTAGAATCCTGCTACTGTATTACTGTATGCTTATATGTGCATAATCCCAAGTGAGCTGATATCCTTTTTTTATGCTTTGCTCTTCATTTAACTTTTTTGATGTTCACTTATGATATATTCTTTTGCCATTTTCATAGTCAGTATTAAAGTATCTAAGTACTTAGAATCGGTCCGAATGCAAATATAATAGCATATTGTGTTAACACATTTATGGCTTATTATTTACAATATCCATTGGAAGTATGACTAATTTATTATAGTGAACTAAAGCACTTCTAATTTGCACTAAATACTATTTATATTTTTTAGTGAGTCATTTTACTTAAAGTCAATCAACACATTTAGTACTACGCCAATGCCACACTTAAAGATTAAATAAACTGTAAATCAAATTTATTATAATACAAATGCCAGGGAATACTGCTGAGAATGACTAATACTTGAGTACACCTATTATCACCATTATCAGTTTTATAGTAAAATCACTTATTTACTTATTTAACAAAATGCTTATTATTGTTCATATTTAAGTGGGTTTGTCTAATAATAATGATTACAGTCCAAAATGATGACCAGACAAATGCTATAAAAGCAAACGTATATAAATAATATCTAGACAAACGTTTTAAGACTATACTACATATTAGTAAGAGTTCAAAAGTGAACAAAATGGATTTCTCTCACAAGATGCAGAGAAGTATATAGTTTATTATATTCTTACTAACATTTTTATATACTCTTAAAAGTATAAGTTTATGTAAATAATTGTATTAAATTATCATAAAGCAATAACAATGCTCTTGAGCATTGCTCTTAGGTTCAAAATCATTACTAATCCTAAATATAACCTAAAATAGTCCTAAAGAGAAAAACTTGCAATTGGCTAAAATATTAATAATACACTTACAGAACATGCTAAGAGATCTTTGAATAGACCCGATCAAAAAATACATAAGGGACAGAGCCATGAAGTTATATGCAAAAACTGACAGGCTATCCAACTTAGCACTATCTAATCTTAGAGTAATCACTCTCCGCATGGGGAGGTACGCAGATCTTAGATCAAGCACTGAATAATCATGAAGCTTATAAAGAATACATAAATTAGTCAATGAGATGGGTGGCACCCTGTAGTACCCCCAGCTATCACAGAGTAAAGTGCCCAGTTACGCTGACTCGAAAAAAAGATTAACATACATACATACAGAACGAAACTGTCAGTAGTTACAATGTACCAGTAGAAGGACCAATATATGTTTTGCTAGAGAACGGTTAACAATCATTTTGAATCCTAAAGAAAGTCTAACATGCTTTTGAAGAGACGTTTTGCTAACTGGCTAAGATAATAGTAATAAAGAACTAAATTTTTCAGCAATTAAAGTCTCACAGCTTGCTATTACTAAATGAAAGCTACTTAAGTGATTTGTAAGAGGTGACCAGTGATCTCTGATCATTGATCAGAATATATCTACAACTAATACGACATGGAGAATGCAAAAAAAATTATTATCATAATATCCACAAATAAAATATGGCTGTCGTGCTAAATATTTTAATAAGATTCATATATAAATAATTTAGTAGAAAATAAAATTAAATAAATACTACATTTAAGCAAGGTAACTACTTTAATTTCTAGAAAGTCTATAATTTATACATAATAAAATATTAATTTTATTAATTCAGTATTAATTTTACAGCTAATTTAATAA